CTGGTATCACTAGAGGAGTCTCTGCTGCTGCTGTCAGAGAGAGAGAGGAGAGTGTGGAGATAAAAGGGGAGAAGATGAAGAACAAGGAGTATATTGATATCCACTAAAACACAAAGCAACTGCAAAGAGACACACTGACTAAAGAAAGACAAGAGAGACACAAAGAGACACAAAACGACTATGAAGGGGCACAACACAACTGGAAAGAGACATTAAATAACTACAAACAATTAGCTAAATGACCACAAAGAGAGACAAAAAACACATTAAGCAAAACCAAACGACTGCAAAGAAACCAAAGAGCAGATTAAAGGAAACAAAACGGCCACAAAAAGGCACGTAAATATCCCCTGATCACAGTCAACGATCAATGATGTCTTTTATCGAGCAACTAGTCTTCTTTAATTGTTGCCCGATTGTCTCAGGAGTATTACACACACGCATGTGAATACTAAAATAATCTTAATAAGAACTTGAACCATAAAAAAACTCCAAGAAAAGTGGAGAGTCGGACAAAATCTCCTCAATCTGAAGGTCAAAGACTTAAAGGGGACCTATTTACATCACATGTCATTTGTTAGACGCTTTTATCCAAAGCGACTTACATACAGTCAGTACTGTGGACAATCCCCACAGGAGCACTTTGTGGTGAAGTGTCTTGCCCAGGGTCACAACGACACCCTTGTGTCCTATCACCTATCATGCAAAATGCACTTTGTGATGTCTTTTCTACATCAACATGTGTCCCCGGTGTGTCGGGGAACTCAAGCAGCGTCAGAAAATACAACCCTCTCTCTTTTCCTCCGTACTCAAATCTCTAAAAACGGGGGAACAACGGAGCTGATCCAGATTTCCATCCACTGTGACGTGTCCATCCGCTGTGACGTCATGGACCCACAGAAAGTTGCTATCAGAAACAATGCCTGACGTGTTTTGGACGTAATCTCGTCTTTGTTTACATTAGCAAGCCTCGCTAACACTCAGAGCTAACCTGTACTGGAGAGCACAGTCTTCAAAAAAAGGAACTCACCTTGTGATAAACCCACAAGAGAAAAAGCATTTGAGCTCCATACTGTTTCAAAAAGAATCCTTGATGTGGTTTAGAACAGAATGGCGTTTATCACAGCAGAATTTAACTTTATCTCCGTTAGAATTCTGATCAGGCATTAGCTCCGCCTCCTCTTCTCTTTTTTTTTCAAGCTAAGGACCCAAAATCTGCGTTTCTCTAACGGGGCTTCAAATGAGGGGTTTGAGCAGAATGAGGCATGGCTACAACGGGGGATCGGTTTGGTATTTTGAAAAAAAAACTTCACAGACATGTTTTATATAGGTATGGCCCTACAATATATGTTTCAAATATAGCATGATAGGTCCACTTTAAATTGGTTTACACAGAGATGCAGTTAGAGTGCACACACACGCACGCACGCACTCACGCACGCACGCACGCATATGACTGTCACGAGCCAATCTAAACGACTAGAGGCACATTTCCCAACGAGTCGAACGAGATATGAAGCTACATTTATAACGTGTGATTAAAGGAAGAATGTTTGTGGCTTGTCGTCGCAGGTGGTATTTATTTATTTGTTTGTATGAAACGGGTTCTTCTGTAACAAAAGCCAACGGTGACTAAAGAAGAGATATGTCAGAGAGCATGAGCTGTTACACAATGATCACAAACAACATAAGAAGATGGAGGAGGACGAGAAGAACCAGAAGAAAGACGGAGAAGAAAGAAGGGACAAAGAAGAGACACAAGATGAATAGAAAGAGACACAATAGGTTAGAGAGACACAGGAAGACCACACAGAGGGACAAAGAGACCAAGAAGAGACACAAGATGACGACAAAGGGACAAAGAGACACTCGATAACTACAACAAGTTGCTAAACCACCTCAAAGAAACATAAAATGTTAATAAATAGACACAACACAACTGGAAAAAGACAGAAAATAACTAATAAGCGTTTCAAAACAGCCACGAAAAGAAGAACAAGAATAAAGAAGTGACAAAATAGACACAAAATGAATAGAAAGAGACACTAAATAACTAAAGGGGGACAAAAATGACAACAAAGGGACAAAGAGACACTAAATAACTACAAAAAGTTGCAAAATGACCACTAAAAGACACCATACAACTAGAGAGGAACACAAAATAAATGCTAAACAGCCGCAAAAAGAGACAAAAACACCAAAAAGAAACATAAAATAACAAACAAAAATACGCAACACAACTGCCAAGAGACACAAAACAACTACGTTTTGCAAAACAACCACAAAAACACGCAGAAGAAGACATACAACATACAGCAGTGGACAATATTTCCACTTAAAGGTCCCATGTCATGACCATTTCTACTGATCATATTTCCATTGTTGAGGTCTACTAGAATATATTTACATTGTTCAACGTTCCAAACTCACATTGGTTTCTCATACAGCATCTCTGTATAGTATGTTTTATTCACTCTCTGTCCTAAACGGCTTGTTGGAGCTCCTGCCCCCCCCCTCCCTCCCTGTGAGCCTAGTGGCCGTCTGCGAGACAGCGAGACACAGCAAAACCCAGCCCGAACACACACACACCTGCAGCCTGGCTGGGAGTGTGTGTGTGTGTGTGCCCAGGCTGAGTTCCGCGGTGTCTCGCTGTCTCGCTGACCCCGCACCAGTGAGCCAGCTCACAGTGTCCCGCTCCTCGCAGCAGCGAGCCTCGCAACGTCCCGCCGAGTGTGTGTGTGTGTGAGGAAGTCCGCGGATTGGTCCAAACGTAACGGCTCCGCAGATTGGTTCTTTCGGACCAATCTGCGGAGCCGTTACGTTACGCAACGTCACTATACCCGAAATACGTCACTGTACCCAGGAAGAAAAAGAGAAATGTCCAACGAGGCGTTCTGGGGCAGCATAGACAGGTCTTTTCTGTGTTAGAGTTTTACTCGCTACAGGGTGTACTTTGAGGGTTTGTAACTCTGCAGACCGTTTACATGCAGAAAAACCTTCATAACACAAGGGGACGGGTAATAATAAGAAGAGCATGACATGGGACCTTTAAAGCAGAGTACTTGGTGGTAGATCAAAACTCTCAATAGATGATGAGCTCTCCACTATATTTCACATCACATCTTCAAAGCCTGAACTCAAAGCGTCGAGGGGAAAGTTTCTCAGCCTTGAAAGCTCAGGAATAATGACGGAGAGCAACGGGAGATAAAGAGGGAGAGGGACGATGTGTTTGAAAGAGATACAGCTCGATGAATAGGTCCTGTGTTTCAGGGAAGGAGGAGGAAGAGGAGGAGGAGGAGGAGAGGAAGTAAAAAGGGAGAGGAGGTCTTAGATAAGATGGGAGAGAAAGCTGGGAAAAAATCTGTCTGATTTTCCGAAGATGCGTCAACAAAAGATTTCAAAGGAAGTGAAGATGAAAGAAATGAAGGATGAGATTATGCCGTCACTCACACGACCTTTAGCGCCGTAAAAACACAACTCTTTCGTGATATTGTTGAGTTTTATTCAGTTCACAGACGGGTCGACAACAAGAGCCTCCGACAGCTTCTGGAAGCAGTCCAACGTTTATTTTAAAAGACAGTTTTTAGACCCTTAAAACAGCGCCAGGCTTTAAAGAAACGTTCCCTAGTGGCCAAAAAGTGGAACTGCAACAACAAGTGATGCCACGGGCCACTAAAATACTTTCTACCATTGACTTACATCCTGAAAGAGACGTCTGTACAGTAGTGTATCTTTTATTTTGTATAGTTACATTGACTTCCAGGTACACACATTTGAAAAGCTCTTATTTAAAGGGAGCGCTA